AGTCCACAGGAAGAAGGGTTCCCGGGGAGGGAGGGGTGTACTCTAGGATGCTCCTGACCCAGGAGGCCTCACCATAGGCAGGGCCCACAGCAGAGGCGCCCCGTCTCTGCTCTGCAGGTCAGAGAGCACTGAGGGAGGAGTCAGCTAGAAGGCAAGGGGGCAGGACATTCTAGAAGTGCCAAGTGCATGGCTGGTGTCGAGAGTTCATTCAAAGGGGGAGTGATGAGGCTTAAGCCAGGGAGGTGGAAAGGCCGGGTGACAGAGGGAAAGGGGCCCTGGAGTCCAGCTGAAGAGCTTGATTCCTCTTGTTCAGTGGCCCTTAACCTTGAGAGCCCTAAAACTGGAGGGCTGGTGAAAGCATAGGGCCCACCCCAGAGTTTCTGATTCAGTAGATCTGGGGCAGGGCCTAAGCATTCCATTTCTAGCAAGTTCCAAGAACCACTGCTCTAGTTTCTAGAAGCGACGCTAAATTATCATCTCCCGGTCCATGGCTGTAAATACGAGTGGAATCAGGCTGGATTATCTGCCTCCCAATCACTCCTGAGGGGAGAATGAAGGAGTTTGGCAGGAAGAGAGGAACCTGGTTAATGTTAAATAACTCGGAATCCAAAGACCATTTCCATTTGGTTCCAAGAGCCCAGGAACCAACTTCTGTTTGTGGGGATGTCAGTGACTGTACCCCGGAAGCCCAGGGGCACAGTAGGAGGCCCCAGGGTCTTCCTGCCTCTCAGCTGTCCCTGCCTGCCAGGTCTGCATCGAGTACTTTAACGACACCAACATCCTGTTCATCGGGGGGCTGCTGGTGGCCATTGCTGTCGAGCATTGGAATCTGCACAAGCGCATCGCCCTCCGCGTGCTCCTCATCATCGGGGTGCGGCCTGCTCTGTGAGTTCCCACAAACAGGGCAGGAGAACCCAAGGCCAGTGGCATTCTGGGCACCTAATCCCTGCTGGGGCCCTGGAGCACGCGTGTGTCTGTCTGTCCGTTCCTAGGCTGATGCTGGGCTTCATGATGGTCACGGCCTTCCTGTCCATGTGGATCAGCAACACGGCCACCACGGCCATGATGGTGCCCATCGCACAGGCCGTCCTGGAGCAGCTGCACAAGGCACCCGAGGACAAGGACGTCGAGAAGGGCAGTGACAACCCCACCTTCGAACTTCAGGAAACAAGCCCCCAGAAGGAAGTGACCACACTTGGTGAGAACGACGAGGCTGCACCTTGCTCCAACCCTTCCACTCTTGGGGGGCGGGTCTGAGGGACATCCCTTCCCAGGGCTGGTCGTCTTGGGTCTTTTAGGGAAAGAGGGAGGCAAGAAGCGCCGTGGCCAACTTGTCCTGGTTTTCCTGGGATTTTCCCATGTGCTGGGAACCCCCCACAGCCCTGGGAAAACCAGGATGCCAGGTCACCCTGGCAAGCAGAGAGCTGGAGTCTGGGTGGGCCACGAGGGGTTCAGGGTCCATTCATCCTGGGTGGTTTGGATGATCCTGTGCCCTTTTCTATGCCTCGGTTTCCCTCTTGAGAGAGAGGTTGGGCCAGATGGTGTCTGAGGTCATCCTCACCTGAGACTCCAGGGGTGCTGAGCCCTTACAGGCCTAGAGGCGGCCTCTGCTCCCAGGAATCGGAGCTGCTCACTGACAAGGCATCCTGCCTGCACCCCAGGGACCAGGGCGCTCCAGCCATGACCCCCGGAGCTGCCCTGCACCCACTCTCCAACCTGAGCTCTCCCTTGTTCCCAGATAATGGGCAGGTTCACCCTGTCCCACCTGGTCCTTTGGAGCCAAAGGCACAGAGGACCCAGGAACACCTCCGCTTTTCCCAGGGCATGAGCCTGTGCGTGTGCTACTCGGCCAGCATCGGGGGCATCGCCACACTGACTGGCACCACACCCAACCTGGTGCTGCAAGGCCAGATCAACTCGTGAGTGACTGACAGATGGGGTGTCTGCACTCTCACTGGGGGGTGGGGGGGGGGCAGGGAACGGGACCTGGTGGTCGCCAGGCAATGTCACTCAGCAACCTGCCTCCCCTCTTCAGGATCTTCCCCGACAACGGCAATGTGGTGAATTTTGCCTCCTGGTTCGGTTTTGCCTTCCCTGCCATGATCATCTTGCTGGTGTTTGCCTGGGTGTGGCTTCAGTTGCTCTTCCTGGGGTTCAAGTAAGTGGCAGAATGGGTGAGAGAGGCCCAAGCCTCTGCCCTTATCCCCTGGGTACCCAGATCGCCATTGTGGAAATGACAAAATCACCATCCCAGTGAGAAGGCCTCTCCCTCCCAAGGCCCCTCCGTGCACTTGGCAGCCCCCCACCCCCATGGGAGGTAATTACTGGACCAAGAGTATTATTATCATTTAGCAGATGAGCAAACTGAGGCTTGAGGTAAGAGGTGCACAGCTAGGTTTGTCAGTGCTGGGATGGAAAACCAGGTCTGATGCCCAGGCCAGATCCCATTCCACAACAACACTCCACAGTCCTTCGGTAAGGGCTTGATGAGAACACACTGGGAATGTGTTGTACCCCGACTGGATTCCCGGCCCTGGGCTAGGACCTGGAGATACTAACAGACATAAGGCACAGTCCCTGTCCTTGGAGCTCACCCTCTGATGGGTGATGGTATGGGGGGCCATGACATAGGGAAGCCCAGGTGCAGCGGGAGCACAGCCCAGGTGAGTGGGGGTTCCAGAGGCTCCTGGAGGAGATGGTGCCAGAACTGAATCTTGTAAAACTAGAAGTCAGCCAGGTAGAGAAAGGGGTAAAGGCATCCGAGGCACCTTGTACCAATGCACAGAGGCAAGAAAGAACATGATACGTTTGGGAGAACTCTAGTTCCGTGTGGTTGAAACCTAAAGCACAAAAAAGGAATATCAGGAGATGAAGTTAGAGAATAAAGGGGGGTAGGATTTTGGATGATTTTGTGTGCCATATAAAGAGTTAGGACCTTGTCCTTGAGGCCGAGTAGTAAATAGGTTTTATTCTTACTAACAACCCTCCGTTACCTGTAGTCATTAGAGTTCTGAGTTGAAAACCACGTGAGACCTTGCTAGGGCTCAGTAGGAAGAGTCTGTGATTGATTAGTCATGCCTGCCATGAGTACAGGATAAGAGTGGTGATATGAGTGGTACTGTGGTATGAGTTGTTTGCCCTTCCTGCCCAGGCAGTGGGGAGCCACTGAAAGTTTTTAAGCCTGGCTGCTATACTTTGGAAAAATCACGTGGGCGTGTGTGAGGAGGATGGATTGAGATTGGGGGCTGGTACAGGCAAGATGGTAGTCGAAGAGACCAGTACAGTGCCAGGCACCAGGGGGGATTCAAAGATGTGGGAAGCATGGTCCTTGACCTTGAGGAAGTCACCATCCAACAGGGGAGTTGGGATTTGCCCAAGTGAAAAGTGAACAGGAGGTAAGTAAGCGGCCTACAGAAATGGGCTAAAGCCTTTTGTGCGTCTGGGGACGATCAGGGTGGGGCTCAGGCTGGCAGAGGATGCCCAGAAACTGGTCGGAGAGGGAGGGGAGGATTTCCTGAAAAGCTGCTGGAGGAGGGGAGCAGTGAGTCAGAGCCAGAAGGAGGCATGGGGTCCTCCTCACTCTGGGCAAGGGAGGGCGTGGCTCAAGAGAAGCCTTGGAGGGATCGGGGGTCCGTGGGGCCAATGGAGCAGGGCCAAGCACGGGGGCCCCCAACCCCAACCTTGTCTCTTCCTCAGGACCCCCTCCCCAAGTCTTCTGCTCTTCTTCCAGAAACGGGTGGAGTCAGGGCCTTAGTGTAACACCTCGGAGGTGGCCTCTGCAGCCTCAGCCCTTCCATCACTCAGAGGCCCCTGTTCCCCGGCCGGCCTGGTGCAAGGCCCTCAGGAGCTGCCCTGCCCCTCTCCCTGCAGCTTCCGGAAGAACTTCGGCATGGGCGAAGAGGCACGAGGTCAACAGCAGGCAGCCATCCGAGTCATCCAAACAGAGCACAGGCGGCTGGGCCCCATGACCTTCGCCGAAATGGCTGTCACCTTCCTCTTTGTCCTCCTGGTCCTGCTCTGGTTCACCCGGGAGCCAGGCTTCTTCCCTGGTTGGGGCAACCTGGCTTTTTCCAATAGCAAGGGAGAAAGGTGAGCATGCCGGGGGGAGGGGAATACTGCAGGGGCTCCCCTAGCGAAAGGAGGAGGGGAGGGAGCAGGGCCCCAAGAGCAGAACAGAAGGTAACACTGGAGGGTGCGGGAGGGGACACTTGCCAGAAGGGGTTGGCCCGTCGGTGGGAGGGGCTCCTGTCCGCCGCCTCCTCCACCCTGCATCCCTGAGCCGCCCTGAGCCGCTAAGCCTGCCCTCCCTGCCCCACCTGTAGCCTGGTGTCCGATGGGACGGTGGCCATCTTCATCAGCATAATCATGTTCATGGTGCCCTCCGAGATCCCAGGGCTGACTCAGAATCCAGGTAAGCACCTGGACTGGGGCAGGGAAGGGCCTCCGGGCAGCCCCTGCCTTCCGGCGTAAAATAGACCATATTTGGCAGGATTAGACAAAGGCCTGACAGGTTGGTGTGACTTACCAAGGACACAGGGGCTCAGGGACAAAGTTGGGATATTGCAAAACTGGGGTCCCCCTCCCGCACGCATTAAGCGCTGATAGGAACCCACACAAGAGGCCCCAAGTGGAAGAGCGGGAAGGCCTGTTGACTCTCGCTGACCCACCCTCTTCTGCCTGGGGAGCAGAAAAACCCGGGAAGCTGAAGGCCCCGCCTGCTCTCCTCAACTGGAAGACAGTGAATGAGAAAATGCCCTGGAATATCGTTTTCCTGCTGGGTGGTGGCTTTGCCCTGGCCAAGGGCAGTGAGGTGAGAAACCCCTGCCCTTTCCCCAGCCTGTTTGAGGGAGACCCTGTGGCAGGGAAAGAGGGGCGACTTGATCCCTGCTTCGGCGCCCCCTGGTGGCCAAGCCTCGCAGCTGCTGGAGAGAGAGTGTCATCTGAGAAACAAGCCAAAGGGATCTTTCCCCATTTGGGTTCTCAAAGCCAAAGGGGAGGCAGATTTCTCTGGTGGGCAGGGACTGTTCTCCGCGACCCCCATTCCCCCCCGACACACACACTCCAACCCCTCACCCCTTCCAGGCAGAGAATATAATGTCTTTAGCACCTGAGAGTAGTTGGCTTCGGGTTGACAGGGTGAGCCTGCTATAGCCACCAGGGGGCGCTGTAATCACATCCAGCCAGGCTCTGGAGACAAGGGCCTCATTCTCAGAGCCTCCATCCAAGAGGGAAATCCCTGAACCTGCACACCTGGGCCTCAGTGCTCCCACTAAGCTCATTCGCTGCACAGACAGGAGGCAGCTTCCCTGGGTCAGGGATTGGTGCTGGGGACTCCTAAGTCCAATGATAGTTCATCCATCAAGCGTTCACCAACTGTGCCACGCTCTGTGCTGGGTGCTGGTGCTGGGTGCTGGGTGCTGGGTACTGGGTGCTGGGTGCTGGGTGCTGGGTAGGCAGCATTGGCTCACAATCTAGCATTACAGTGGGCAGGACAAGACCTCGGAGCTCTTCTGACCCTGTGGACAGTCCCCACCCGCCTGTCAGCCTCCTCCCAGCCTCTGGCCCTTCCCCACTCTCCCTCCTCGAACTGCTGTGTGAGCCCTGGGCTAGAGAGGGCAGAGAGAGGGCGAAGGTTGGCCAGAGACCTCCTGAGAGAGGTCGGGAGAAGTCTTGACTCCCACCAAGCCCCAGGTTTCCCAAGAAGGCCCTTTGGCCTCTTTCTTAGCTTCTCATCTGACCCTTCTCCCCACACCCAACTGTTCTTCAAGAGCAGGAGAGGGGACCCCTTGGTTCCGGCTGGTTCTTCCCTCCCAAGCTGCTCTTGCTTTTGAAGAACCTAGAGAGGTGTGGACAGGAAGGTGACCCTCCCAGAGCCTCAGCAGGGGACTCCGGGACCCCAGGCAGCCCCGCCTCTCACACACCACCCTCTGCCGCCCACAGGAATCACGCCTGTCTGCGTGGCTGGGGGACAAGCTGACCCCACTGCAGAACGTGTCGCCTCCCGCCATTGCCTTCATCCTCTCTATCCTGGTTGCCACCTTCACTGAGTGCACCAGCAACGTGGCCACCACCACACTCTTCCTGCCCATCCTGGCCTCCATGGTGAGTTGGCCCAGCAGACACGCCTCCTCCAGGCATCCCTCCTGTCCACCCCGACTCAGGGGCCCCCCCTGTGGGTCACAGTGACGTGTCTGCGCCTCCTCTCATTGCCGGGAGAGGTCCTCTGAGCTTCCACGCTTCCTGGGGCTCTCCAGCTACCTTGGGCCCCAAAGGCCCCAGGCCCCTGACTCATCCCACCCCTGGTGACGTCACCCCCTGAGTATCTTGATGGGGCTCACTGGTGGCCTCCCCCACCTCCTCAGCCCAGCCCCTGTTCTGGTCATTCCTGAGGTGATGGGGTAAAATTGCTCCCCGGAGCGTCCCCAGCCCCTTCCCACAGCCTTTGATGATTCCCGGGGCCCCTTTGAGATCCGTTTTATGGGCCCCTCCCCTCACCACACCCCACAGGGCAGGGCCACACAGTCATTCCCTCCAGAGCGGTCAAGGGGCCCTTCCCAGGTCACCCAGTACCTTCTGGCAGAAGTGGTGGGTTCATGCCCAGAGTATGTGTTGGGGGGAGGGGGTTGTCCCTCAAAGCGGGGAAGCAGGGGTATTGGGAGCCACACCTTTCCCTCTGGGACGGGGACTGCCATCAACTCTGCCCACTGTCTCCCCCTCCAGGCGAAGGCCATCTGCCTCCACCCTCTCTATGTCATGCTCCCTTGCACTCTGGCCGCCTCCCTGGCCTTCATGCTGCCTGTGGCCACCCCGCCCAATGCCATCGTCTTCTCCTTTGGAGGAATCAAAGTGTCCGATATGGTGAGTGGCAGGGCCCCGATGTCTCAGCACCCCTTCTGCTCCGTTTTCCCATCTCGGTGGACTACAAAGTAGCAAGAAGCCCGAGACTCTCAGCTGAGAATGGGCCTTGTCTGGGGTGGGGGGCGCAGGGAGGTTGGGATATGACCCCCAGTTCGAGCATCTTTAGGCCCTGCCAGGCCCAAGCCATGTGAGAGGAAGAGAAAGGGGTGAGGAATTCCGGGGAGGTTCCAAGGTGCCAAGCAGCCACTTGCGGGGAGATGGACTCAGAGGGAACCAGGCCCAGGATCAGGGAAGCTCATGGAGGCGCTTCCCTTTCCCCTCTTATCCCTGGGAGTAAAGCCAGAGGCCAGGGCACTGCCTGGAGCTGCAGGTTAGACGCAAGGGAGGACTTCCCAAGGGCGAGTTTTGCTAGTGACAGCTTCTGGGCACCTGTGGACACCGAAGGGGTGGGTGCTGGCCCAGCTCAGCAGCTGCTCTGCTCACTCACACTGATTCTCTGCAAACCAGGTCCGGGCGGGATTCCTGCTCAACATCCTGGGCGTGCTGGTCATCATGCTGGCCATCAACACCTGGAGCATCCCCATCTTCAGCCTGGACACCTTCCCTCCCTGGGCCTTAGCCAACGCAACCGACTGCCCGGCCAATGCCACCGCGCTAGGCCCCTAGACCAGGGTCCAATCTGGCCGAGACCAGGAAGACCCAAGCCGTTCCCACTCCTCTGAGTCGGGAGGAGACACCAGGCTCCACGCCGGACAATGAGACAATCGCACATGTGTACATTGCCTCGTGTGTATCCGAGGAATGTGTGTGTGCACTCAATCCTGTGTCTGAAGAAAATGTATAGATAGCATGAACGTGTCTGTGTGAGGAGGGTGTGTCACGTGAGGATGTCTGGGGGGGGGGTTTGTGTGTGTGCATATGATCTTAGGTGTGTGTGCTTAATAGTGCATGTATGTGAGTTCACCGATAATATAACGTGCCCTTTCTAGCACCCCAGGTCTTGGTCTCCCCAGCTTGGTGGGTGACCAGACCCCTTCACACTGTATTTATTGAAACTCAAGGTTGGGGTGGCCTGGGCAGCCGGGCCTGCCAGCAGTTGCCATGGCAACCGCCTCTGGGACCAGCCCAGCATACGGAGCTCTCCCCAGCCTCTCCGCTCACCGTTAGGGGGAAGGGCTCGAATACTAGGTACATTAAAGTCTTTTTCAGTAGCGTCTGGGATGGTTTTTCACGGCGCTTTCCAGGGCTGGCCCACCACATGGTTCAGGCCCTTGGGTTGGGGATTACGGTCGGAAGGGACCTGACTTTGTCCCGTATGGCAGCCCCCCTGCCACCCTTCCCGCCCAAGAGAGAAGGTAATGGCCAGGGACCCCTGCCAAGGCCAGTCGGAGTGGGCGCAGCCACCCAGGGGAGCAGCACTGACATCACCCAGCCCTGCTAATTGGGAGCTGCCAGTCGCTGCGTGTCTTTGGGAAAACCGGCCTCCGGTTCCCAGAGCACTCCCCGGGTATTTACATAAAACCCTCTGCCCCTGCCAATTCCTCACCGACCCTTCCTCCAGCCGGAAAAACCAGTCCCGCCAGACCAGGGGAGGCAGGCTGACCCGTGCTCAGTGCCCGCACAGCCGGACTCTCGCCGGCAACGGCAGCAAGAAGGATGCCGGCGAGACTCACAGCGGCAGGTTCGAAACTGGCCCGGCCTTCAGAGTTCAGGACCCGACAGCACCCTGGGTCCCTCTGCAGCCCCAGCTCCCCTCCGTCCCTCCTCGGCCTCCCCGCCGCCGCCATGAACTCTGAGTTGTGTCTCTCTGGCAAGGTGAGATGAGGATGGCTGGAAGTTCATCTTTGTATCAGTCCTAAGTCTCTCCTCGTGGACAGTGCATGTGAGCCTTGAGTTCAGAGATGGAAGTTTCTGAGAGTCTCATCCAGTTCCCTCCTGCTGCAGTGGAAGGAAAAAAAACCAACAAAGATGTTTATCGTCACTCTCATGCCCAATAAAAGAGAGGGGTGACTGGTGAAGAGAGAATCCCAGAAAGGATTTCAGCCTGGATCCCCCCTGGTCTGGGCCTTCATTCAATACTCCTAGAGCTGGGGGTTCGAGGGTGGCGAGCGGGCGCCAACGGGAGGGGCTGCAGCATGAGGAGAACATGGCTGTCCCCAGGGGACGGGGGATTCTGACAGGACATGCCAGACATCCTGCAGAGAGGAGTGTCAGGCGGTGGCCCCACCCCCACCCGGCCCCCCAGGCTGGCATTCCTGGTTTATGAAGCACATCATAAATCAGGGCTCCCACCCAGCCCCACACTGAGACCCCCACCAGGCCCCAGGCCAAGCCCCCCCACCATTGGGAATGGGCCAGGCCCAGGATGGTGGGACTCCGCCAGTGGCTTGCCCCAGTGCGGGGCTCCCCAAGGAGCAGCCCGCCCCACTGTGAGGAGACCCTCTGCCACCACTCTCTTCTAGACCCTGGTGGGTACCCTAGTCCAGCCCTGGCTGGGGAAGAGGGTTGTGCTTCTCAAGGGCACATGCCCCGTCCACTGTTATCAGCTCACCCTTCGTACCACCACCCACCCTCTCCACGTCTCCCTCAGTCCTGCTCAGAGAGGGTCATATGCAGACTAAGGTCACACAGCAGTCTCAGGGGATAAAGACTGAGCTGGCCCTGCCTTCTCCGGGGAGGAAGGAGACAAAGGCTGGCCTGGGGGTTGAGGGGTCCGTTGTGGTGGGGGCCCTGGCAGAGCTTGGGCGCCAGGCCTCCCCCAGGTGCTCAGAAACCATCCCCCTCAGCAGGTGGGAGGGCGGACGGGAGGCAGGCGGCACCTGTCAGCCTAATCATCGTCATTAGCTGGGCAATAAAGCGGCACGGACCTGGCCAGCCTTTGAAGGAAGGGCCTGTCAGCCCAGGTCAGGTTTGTGCAAGCAGCCTAGCAGCTCGGCCTTCCTGCACACGTACCCCGGGCTGCGGCAGGTGGATGGGGCAGTGCTGGGACTAGGGTCTGCATCTTCCCTGCCTGGGCACCCGCAGCCCTTCACTCGTGGTTTCCAGAAAAGTCGAGGTACTTTGGGGTCCCCTACCAGCTGAATGTGGGCAGTGCTGGGACTCAGACACTGCTATGGTAGTGAGCTCCTCATTGCTGGAGGAGATCAAGGAGGCCAGAAACAACCAGAGGACTGTCTGCCTGAGGCAGCTGTGTGTTCCTAGCACAGGGCCTGGCACTTCGATTATTATATAAATAAATGAACGTGTCAGAAGCACTGGGGGCTTCTTGCTCCTGGAGGAAAGTTGGACATGCTGCCCTCAGAGCCCCTTTCCAGACTGCTGCGTGTGGAGTGCTGTGTGGCCTTGAGACAATGTCTTGGCCTCTCTGGGCCAATGTCATCTGAGGCTCCACATAGGTCCAGGTTTCTGAGCCAACTCCTACTGTCCCCCCCCCCCCCCCGTGCCCTGGGGCCTTGGGAGTGGCCCCGTTTGCCTCCCGCACTTCCTGCTGGCCAGCACCAGCCCCAGAGGCAACTGTGGCGACCAGAGTGCCCCGGAAAAAGATGTCAAGCCAAGTTTTTCCAGGAGAAACCTGGCAGGTAGAAAAGGGGCATTTGTCACAAGATGGACAAGGTAGGAGTAGGCTATTGATTCCATTCTCTGCGTTCACCTTGATTTGAGCTCAGGTGAAGGGCAGCTCTGGGGGTTACAACCCCAGAGTAGGCCCCTTGGGGACTCAGGCCAAGACTTCCCTGTCTCCCCAAAGTCTCAGAGCGGAGGCTGCTTCTTGAAGAGGGCGGGGTGAGCTGTGCAGGAGGGAGGGTGGTGCAGCAGGGAGTTCTGGGTGAGGGGTGGGGTAGGAATGGGATGTTCGAGGCTCTGGTCGGGGCCAGCCTGAGGAGGGTGCCCCCTACAGCCTCCACCCAAGTCTGGGCTCCATTCGTCAAGGTCAGCAGAGTCCTGAGGTTTTGCTGGGGCAGGGAGTCTGAGGGCCTGCAAAGCCCTGGGTCAACCTCAGGGAGAGGAGCGGGGAGAGGAGGGGGAACGGAGGTCAGGGAAGGGAATAGAGCAGCCTGATTGGAAAGGTTGCGACAGGCCCAGCTGGTGTGGCTCAGTGGTTGAGCATTGACCTACGAACCAGGAGGTCACAGTTCAATTCCTGGTCAAGGCACATGCCCGGGTTTCGGGCTCGATCTCCAGTTGAGGGCGTGCAGGAAGCAGCTGACCAATGATTCTCTCTCATCATTAATGTTTCTCTCTCTTTCCCTCTCCCTTCCTCTGAAATCAATCAACAAAAATATTTTTTTTTAAAAGTTTATGACAGGGAAGAGTTGCTCTTAAGGGTGGGAGATCCACAGACATGTGTATACAGAGCTATGGGTTCTTGGGTACACATAGAACAACTCACAGACACCAGCACAGACATAGATACCTGCATACACAGTTACACACACAGAGACACTCGTGTGTGTACAGTTATTCACAGGCATTCACAACCCTTCAAGCACCCAGTCATTCACACACACACACACACACACACACACACACACAGATTCTGGTATGGACGTGCCCAGCATCACATTATAACTCCACAATTTAGCTGCACACCCATGGTGGCACATGTGAGCATGAGAACAGACATGTAAATACACACTCTCACGCAGTGAACACACATACACTGGCATTGCTCCTCCCCACCTCCACAACCCTGCCTCCCAGTAACAGGAGAGATTAAGACAAGACAGGAGAAGCCTGCCCTCCCCACCCAGCAGGACTCTAGCTATGTCCCTCCCTACCCGACACCCCCCACCCCCAAGCTCTGGGCTTGGAAACTCCCTGGATTTCCCAGAGGGTCAGCCAACCAGAACAGGCTCAGACCTCCCAACCCAGGGCCCCTGCCACACACCCTCCACAGCTCTGGCCAGCACTCCTCTATCACCCACAGCCAAGGCGCTGCCTGGTCTCCCCGCAGAAGCCCACCCTGATTAATCCCAGACCTCTCCAAGCCTTCTTCTTTTCCCTAATGTTTTTATTGATTTAAGAGAGGAAGGGAGAGGGAAAGATAGAAACATCAATGATGAAAGAGAATCATCGATCAGCTGCCTCCTGTCACCCCCTACCGGGGATCGAGCCCGAAATCCAGGCATGTGCCCTGACCGAGAATCGAACCGTGACCTTCTGGTTCATGGGTTGACCACTGAGCCACACTGGCTGAGCTCTAAGCCTTCTTTACATGAGGTCCTCAGGCTCATGGCAGCTATGCTTCGGCCCAGAGCCTCCACAGATGTTCCTCAGTGTCTTCCATGCCAATGGAGTGAGACGGAAGGCCTGCGAAGTAGCAGACCCGTCTTAGAAACCCACTTAGGAAGGCAAGTCCCGTTCACACTGAGCAGAAGTGGACAGAATATGGCCAGTCCTAATGTGGGTTACAGGGAGGGGCCTCCACCAGCACACGGGGGCTCCCAAGGGTGGGCACATGCTCTCCCTTCTCCTGGAGTCTTGCCTCAGACTGGAGCATGGCAGACATTGGCCCCACGGGTTTCCATCCCTGGTCAGGGCTGCCACTGGTTCAAAGCCGCCCAGCCCTGGGCAGAGCCCAGCAATAGACAGTGAACCAGTTCTAGACCTACAGGCTCCAGAAAGACAGAGCCCCCCAGCCCCAGTCTGTCTCACTAGCCCTAGCTACAGCCCATCCAGGACAGAGCCCAGCTCAGCGACAGAGGCAGGCCCTGAAATGAGGGTGCAGGAGTGTGTGGGACCGAACCGCCAGATAGAAGTCCTTTCCAAGGGGAGCAGAGCCAACACCACAGCAGCTAGAGGTAAAGCGAGGCACCAGGACAGACTTTCTGGATCCGGGAGAGAATTCTGAGGCGCTGGTATGATGAGAGAAGGGGACGGTGGTCCGGCTTGGGGGCAGAGAACGAGGAGAAGGACCTCACAGACCCCCTTTCATTCCAAAATTCTCTGGGATTCCCGAGGCTCCTGCTTCAGCTCCCAGATTGCATGCAATGAGGAAATAGTGCTTCCCAAAGGAAAGCAGGAGCAGGGTCCACACCCTTTCCCCGGGCAGAGGTGGATCCTCTCTCAGAAGAGAGAGAAGTTCATCTCACCCATCAGAAGCCGAGTTTCACTGTGGGAAGGTCAAACCACGATCGGTCCTATCGTCCCATCACAACCTTTCTGGGACCCTCGGGCCCTGAATTAATTTGCAATTGGCCATTTGCATTTTATTG